GAAATAATCATTTTCTACCTCCTTTTACACACTGACCTCCCCCACTCTGGCTTTAATATCTTCATCGCTTCAGGTTTACTTTGGATGGAGAGCAGGGGAATGCACACAGCGACGTTTCTGCTGCTCTGACAGTAATGAAGTGTCTAACGGGCTCCTGTCAGCAGTTTGAAGACACAGTAGACTATGAGACACGGTGGAGACACACACACACACACACACACACACACGTGCACACGCACACGCACGCGCGCACACACACACACACACACACACACACACACTTTATACGTCAGACACTCCCGTTCAGTGACGCCTAAGAAATTACCACCCACCACCAATTACTGCAACTCACACATGGTGGAAGATCTGAGCCGTCCCGGCCATGTGTGGATGGACCTGTGATGTGGTTGCTGCAGCACTAACAGACAGGGAGGAGAGATCTTAGAAGTAGCTGGCGGAGGGCGTCGCAAGGCTTCTGCAGAGCCAGGCTGAAGCTTTTCATGTGCATTTTCTCACTTTTACAACCTGCCTTTGTGATAAAAATAACTACATCTAGAAATATTCAAATTATGAGTACAAATTAAAGTTACCATATTCTAGCCCCTCTAACTGGTTTTATCAGATTTGTAATACTGTGCATTTTAAGTATTTATGTATTTACATTTTTCCTCAAGAAGCCAGACTTTTAAAAACAATCTTTGAAAGATGTCAAAGTCCAGCGAAGCAGTTTAAACATTTGGAGAAAAAGTGATTTTTTAAGGTTGTGAACAAGTAACATCGCACTCTTTCTAAATAGCATTTTAAACAACCTCCATCTGGGGAAACGGCTCCTTTTGGAGCAGATTTTCGAGCTAACTGCTAGTTAGACCAGAGATAATGCCAAGCTGGATTACAGCATTTTTAAATCAGTTTCTTACTGCATCAGTAGATGGGCACCAGGATTCTATAGAAGTCCTACCGCTAGCTGCTAATTATGCCTTCAAATAAACAAAACGTTGTATAAGAATAATAACAGAGCTGACAGGAATATGAAACTGGAACTCAACAGTGATTCACTTTGGTCTTGGCACAGCTCAGATTGGCTGTTAGCCCATCAATCATGTTACAATTTATCTGTTTCTTCAAACTAAGGTCATTCAAAGAGCTATTTACAAATCATCAGATAATATTTATTTATAACTATTCCATTAAAATATATAAAGAGTGTTGAACACTCCTTTAAAGGGAGACTAGGCAGTTTTGGGTTGCTTTTGTTGTTTGTAGAACAAAAAGCAAAACTTATCTCCTCGCTGTGCGTTTGTCTTTTTAACAACTTAATCTAACAGCTGACACATCTCCCAGCCTTCGTTAGTGTCTACAGGAGTAATTCATCGCTAAAATAAACAAATCAGCTGTGTTTACAATCTAAAACATGCAGAAAAAGTGCTGGAACCAGACTGCAGCACCAGGTAAGTCCCAACAGACCGGACCAGCAACTCTGAAGTAGCAAGTGGAATGTTCTGGCCACAAGGAATGATAGGGGCTGAGTGTAAGTCTTTGACGGGTTATTTTAGCACATACTGGCTCAGGAAAAGGATTTAAAAATATGTAAAAGTTGCAAAGTATGCCTTTAATCAATTTGCAGCCTGTAAGTCTTACTCTGGGGAAAGAAAACACCGGTGCACCATTTTCAGGAACTAGAAGTGAGCCACATCACATCTGAGCTTCAAATGATAGGACTTGGAGCCTCATTCCTTGATTTTTGAAAATGTCGTCTCGGATTGGATAACAGCAACATGACTCCACCAATGACTTACAACCAGTGTTGGGAACGTTACTTTAAAAAAGTAATTAGTTATAGTTACTGATTACTTTGTCAAAAAAGTAACTCAGTTACTAACTGAGTTACAAGATTATAAAAGTAAATAATTACCAAGAAAAATAACTACTTAATTACTTTTTTCATTAAAGCATGCAACAATTACTACAATAGTGAAATATAAATGAATAGTGACTGGAACATAATAAAATGTATGTCCAAATGTTTTTTATAAACCTGAATAATTTAAATAAATAAGCACTTAACAGGAGGAACAACTAACATGAGCATTACACTTATCTAGACTATTAAAAAGTTACTGTGTGATATTTAACAAGACCCCAATCAGCTAAAATTTAAAATTGCAAATAGAAACACCTGTAAAGGTTCCCGAGCCTTTAAATGGTCTCTCAGTCTAGTTAAATTACAGAAATGAATGTAATTTTTCACAGTATTCTATTTTTTCCAGCTTCACATAATTGTGTGTTATTAGTAGCATTTCTGCTGCTGGTAATCTAGTAACGGTTAAATAAATAAATAAAATCCTTTAAAATGACACTAGAAGAGGCACAAGCCTGATGGAGGACTTCTAACTTGGGTCAGACCCAACCACAGAAGAGCTGAAGCTGGGTGGTAAACACACACAGGTAGTTCTAATAACACCTGAGCCCCATGACGTCTGAGACTGATGCACCAGTGTTACAGCGGGACTAAAGACATGATCGGGGGGGTTACACTAAGCCGGCTGTTCTCAAGGAGCGACTGGCCTTTTCTAAGGGTCGAATGGGGGATAATTTAATTGAACCTCTGAACTGAAACCACTTAATGTGGAGCTGTAATCTGTAGAAATCTAATGTTGACCCAAATGTCATGGTTAAAATGCTGCTTGGTTTGGCTACAGAACCGTACTTTTGTGTTTTACCCCATTTAAGCTAATTACACGTAATTTATGCTTAAGTTACATTCCTGCCAAACATGCTAAAGTAAAACCGTTGTGTGCTTTTGGGTTATCTCTGATGTGTTTTTATTACACACACAAACACACACACACGCGCACGCACACACACACATACACACTCAGATGAAGTTTGGACAATTCAAAATAAATTAGCTAATAAAACCAAATATGCACAGGCAATCTCAGCAGATTGTTATCAAACACATGAGTAACTGCTGTGTTATTTATGGGGTGCTTTAGTAAATCAGCCATAAAAACACATTTAACTTTGTGTTTATCAACAAGACTCTTTTATTTTAAATTATTTCTCAAGTAGTCCTTTTATTGTTCAATACTAGCTGACAAGCTGCAACCATCAGTTTTGCAATAAATGTTATGTAAATGTTTTTTTCTTTAGTTTGCCAAAAGTAAATTGAATAATTTATTGTCATCTTACTATGATGTTTAAATCAGCAAACGGGAATTTAATATTCTCTATATTTATATGTCTGCTGGGTTAATTCTAATAAACTGAATAAATATTAACATTTTTCCTGATTTTCTTCTGATAATTATGAGAAATCTGCTCGTTCCTTTCACAAAACCTGCCTAAAAGATTTATAAAATTAAACATTCAGATCTTCCTCTATACTAACATTGATATGTTAATCAATAAAGATCAGAATAATCCTGTTTCTAAAATGCTGTTAATCAAATTAATTTAAATATAGGTATTTCTATGATGCATTCCTCACATTACCTCCACGCCACAGAACATTTATGAAATGAGTCCACTCATCCAAATTTCCCTTTCAGTACCTCCTTTAAGAAAAAAAAAGCAGACACTTTCCTGCCTCTTAAGCTCTTGGGTACTTCCTGTCTCCCTGCTGCCTGAAAGCCGAGCCAAATCAATTAGTGTGTAGAAATTACAGAGCAATAAATAAGGAGGTCCAGTCGGCAGCGGTGAGGACAAGCTCACGGGAAAATCAGGGGCCCCTCCTGTCTGCATGCAGCTCAGGATGCCCGGGGCCTCCAACCTTTAACAATATAACAATATAAGCTTTTACACAGTATCATATCACTTCCTGTTTGGTTTGTCAAACAATGTACCCAATTTACAGCTACACGCTTTATTTTGACACTTACAGGAAGTATTGAAAGTCCTGAATGACACTGCGGTTTAATCTAACTTATGCATGCATGTTATGGTAGAAAGAGCCAAAGAAGCAATAAAACATAAACTCTTGGGACTGAGAGTAACTGTAGACACCAGATGGGGGTCGTTTGGTTGACCTCCAGATCTCCTGATGTTACCATATCCAGGCTGTAGCAGACAGGCCCGCTAACATTATCCATCTTTAAATCACACAGAAGGCATAAGTCCTAAAGTCTGCAGCATTTTCTAAAGTCTCTTTTTGTTCTTTCGACTAGGAGTCATCAACGAGCTTAGCTCGAATCGTCCCACCATTAAACTTGTGAAGCACCCGGTGAAAATATAGATTTGATTTCCTTTTCAAAGTCACAGAGTGACTAATGACGAGACGGAGTGGAAACTGAGACGGAGATCCTTGTAAATGAGAAGCTAATTATTCCCGAGACCCAGGTGACAATGCTGGAGACTAATCTGCCAAGTCACTGGATCTGCTTCATCTAGAGCTAAACTGTTCCTATCCCTGCTCTGAAATCAGGGTGTACTACGACTTTTCACATTAAAGTTTTTTAATGTATCAAATGTTCTGTCATAGATTTTAGACATGTGATCCAGAAACACTGATCCAGTTAAACGTGGATCACTCATGTAGCTGGAAGAAAATAAATAAATTAACTTTACTCATTTTTACATTTCAAATCAAGCTGCCAAAATACCTTTTTAGTATCTTTAGAGGAAGAACAAGAAGAAATCAAACTCAATTATTAGTTTCAGGTGTTGGTAATCTGAGCCCAGAAGCAGCACATAAATACCTCCTGACTGCACATCGCAGGTTGATTAATCCTAATGGATGCCCAACATAGTTAGTAAACAGTCAACAGACTGCAGAATAATCCATTTCAGGCATCTTTGTGTTTTTATCTTTTCCTACAAATGAAGTTACAGATCCTAGCAGGTCACACAATCACACACTGAAGTGATGGTAAGCTGCTGCATAGCCACAGCCGCCCTGGGGCGGTCCGACAGAGGCGATGCTGCCAGCTCAGTGGCCTAGTGGAAGAGTGTCCGCTCTGAGACCGTCAAAACAAAGACTTTGAAAAAAAATGGGACCCAACTGATGGAACTTTTAACTTTAACTTTAATTTGCACCATCGGCTGCACTGATCATCACCAACATAGGAAAGATGTGTGAAGTGTCTTGCCCAAAGACACCGGAGATTAACCCTGTAGGGAGTTGGGATTGATCCTACACTCACAAGGCAACCCGATCTACCACCTGAACTACTGCTGTCCCAAATCAGCCGCTGACGTCAGCATAATTGTGTAAAAGTCCATCCATCCATTTCCCCCACTTATCTGGGGTCGGGTTATGGGGCAGCAGCCTAAGCAGAGAGGCTCAGACTTCTCTTTCCCCAGCCGCTTGGGCCAGGTCCTTCGGGGATAATCTCAAAGTGCTCCCTGGCCAGCTGAGAAACATTGTCCCTCCAACATGTCCTGGGTCTTCCTTTAGGTCCCCTCCTGGTTGGATGTGCCTGGATAACCTTACGGAGGCATCCTAACCAGATGCCTGAGCTACCTCGACCGGCTCCTCTTGATGTGGAGGAGCAGCATATCTACTCCAAGCCCCTCCTGGATGATGGAGCTTCCTAAAAATTGTCATCTGCCACACAAACAGACCAAAGCCAGCATTAAAATAAACACGTTTTACTGATGATTTTTAATGTCAGCATTAGAACTGAGACATTCGTTAATCAAAACAAGCTGTTTGGGGGGGGCTAAACCCCAACTACAGGAGGTTTTTATGCTCCTAAATGCCATTTCAGAAGGACTTACAGCATATCCGATGGCGTGTTGCAACATCCACACAGTTTATTCACTGAGACAGTAAGCAGAGTTTGCAAATGCTACCCAAGGCCTCTCGCCAGCAGGCTGTGTCAGCACTGTCACCACCATACATCCACGTGGCAGCTTGTTGTATTATGGCCGCCACTCCGTGTGATAAGCCGCTCTGGTGTTGTTCCAGTGTTAACCCAACATCCTGAGTACACACTCTCTTCCTGCCCTTATCACAGCCCTCTATTTGTGGACAGAATCAGAAAAACTTCCGGAGGGCAGAAGATAAAGCAGACCAACAAATATTGCACTGGATCCTACACACACACACACACACGCACGCACACACACGCACACGCACACGCACATGCACACACACACATGCACACACACAGATTGTGTGTATGGTCCAGGGTTCAGAGCGCTGCAGCAGAACAGTTGAACTTTAAACTGATAAAACAGGCTCCACTCATTCTCACCAGTTTGTCCCATCCAACGTTTCTACAAACACACACAAAGAAACAGTTCTGGGTTTTAAAAAAGGGGTGTTTTCCCGAAAACCTGGGCTAGATAGTTCTTTAATCGGCTTGACTTTGGAGAACCGGAGATGAGTTCTGATCGGCCAGATGAGCTAGCGGATTAAACCCCTGATGTCCTGTTTTATAAACCTTTACACCACTTTTGATGGTGCAATACACACTTAATCTGAAAGTTACGAAATCCCAACTGCAAATAGTACACCCTGAACTGGAGATGCTAGCTAACTTTATCACCAAATTCTTCTGCAAATAAATGTAGTAATGTCTGCTCCATTTCCCGCAGGAGTCTGAGGGTTGGATTTTGCGTCGTGCAAAAAAGAAATGCATGGGCAAAAAATACAAAATCAATAGTCCTGCCAAGGATCATCTAAAATCAACATGGAAGCCAGTCTTGTCTGCCACAGGAATTACATCTTCCTGACTGGGATCTGGATTAGCAGAGCAACAATATGAGCTGAATCCTTGCTGAGTAATAGGGAAACAGGTCAGTAGATGTGCTGCCCGCTGAGTCCGGCACTGGACTGACACACGATCAACCAAAACCTACCACCACCCTGGGCGGAACATGAATGAATTACAGGATGCATTCCCAAAAGCACATTGTTTCTCTATCATCAGTCCACGAGGGTCCGTTAAATCAGAGGTTTTGTCTTAAGATGGAAAAGTGTCAATTTTTTAAATTGTTTTAAAAAACAAATAACTCAACTGGTTTAGGCTGTGTCCAAATAGTCTGGAAATCTAGACGAATGGCAGCAAAAGCAAAATGATTCTGCTCAGAATGTCGGTCCAGCCATGCTCAATAGGAACCTCCTCAGCCCTGACTGGTGTCCAAACTCAGGGGCTGCATCTTTTGAAGGATGCATTGATCCACGTTAACCCAGGGGGTAATTTTGGACAGGCTAGCCATCAGATTTATTCCCACCCTTACTTTGGCTTATGTCCTGCTTCTTAGCAACCTTGAATGCTGCAGAACTTCTTTATTCAACATATCCTCAAGAGGCTAACGCAGCTTTACCGCCGTAGGAGCTCATTTACGATGATTTTTCTCATGATTTTTGACAAAACTATGTTTTAAAAACTGTGCAAATGACAAAAGTTTAATAACAGATTTTTGAATTTGTCCGCCATTATTACAAAAACAAATAACTCCTGTTCAACCCGCAAGGAATCCTGGGATAGGTTGGGTCATGAAGGATGCATTTGCAGGAGCCTTGAATTTTGGCCGCCTTCATCACATCACTGTCACATAATCGCCTTTGATATGAAGTCTTGACCTCTACCCTTCTAGGTATTTTTAGAATATTATTATATAGTACTACCAGATTAACCCCAGAGTTATCAGATTTCAAACAAAAATAAATGAAACCACCCAAAACATTTTTGGATCTGTTCAAAGGACAACACGTGTGTGTGTGTGTGTGTGTGTGTGTGTGTGTGTGTGTGTGTGTGTGTGTGTGTGTGTGTGTGTGTGTGTGCGTGCGCGCGCGTGTGTGTGATAGACACTAATGATGCACTAATCAGGAGGGAATCCATATTTTAATTATTGTATTTGAAACCTTTCTGGGTAATGTTCAGATCGAGGCCAGATGATGATTATATCAGCAGGAGTGGGGGTGAGAGGATGGGGGGGGGGGGGGGGACTCACAGAGACTCAGTGGGTGATGAAGACTTATTGTGCATGGAAGATAAGACACACAAACACACTAGCATACTTGTACAGACCACACACCATGTACACAGGAGTTAATGCACAGTCTGACATGTCATCATGTTCACACACACACACACACACACTTCAAAAAGCTGGTCTGACTGGGATCACTGCCGCCCTCTCCTCCCTCCTCTTGACCTTTGACCTAATCTCTTCATATTTTTTGTCTCAGAATCTCTCTCTCTCCTCTTTTCTCCTCTAATAAATCTGTTTTATTTTTGCCTTTAACACACCTAATAAACCCATCATTCGCAAGCTCGCAACAATGGAGAACATTAGAAGAAACTGATTTTGTTCCTCTCTTCACAAAATGTGCAAATTTAAGGGGAAATCATCTTCTGTGTGCAGTCATAAAATAACAATACAACAAACACAAATTATGTCCAGACCGATTAAGCTGATATTTCCCACAAAGACATGAGATTAAATCATGATTTCATTCGTTAAAGGAAAGAGCAGCAGGACCTGTTATTGTTGCGTGAGCAGAAGCTTTTGGTTTATTAGAATAAAATAAGTTTTTCATTTTGTCCCCATTGAGTTTCATGCATATTTCACATGATTGTGCTCTGATTTCTAATGTGCACATCCTTAATTCTGACCATGCAAACTGTTAGGTCTAAATGTGAGTAAGGTTGCTGCTCAAGACTTTATGAGTCTTTGCAATTTGCAAAACCTTCATAATGTTCTGATGGGTGATCAGATGTAATCGCTCTACTTTAACCCCCTAAAAAAATAATTTCACCTTAATTTCATCCTGCTGTCATGATGATGCTGTTAAGGAGAACAAGGATGGAAATCACTCCATCAGCCTTATTTTGTTCAATTCAAAGATTTTAAAAGGAAAGTGTTGTTTCTTCTTGTGGTTACTCTTTGCTTTGCACAAAAACATTTATTGAACCATCAACAACTTCCAGAGGTGAGTAGCAGCTTCCAGAGCATCAGGATCCTGAAGTTGATCCAGCCCTGGGATTGGGGTTTAAAGGTGTCTCTGGTAGGAATCAATGCTTTGCAAGCCGTATTTGAAGCAAAAAAGAAAACAAAACAAAAACAGCATCAGCAGGGACAAGTCTGCCACACCAGAGGATCTCCTGATATTTGCGCATCTCGGCTCAGACTGGATAACAGTAACACAACTTTACCACTGACTTGCAACGTTGATTTTTTATCTTCACAAATAACATGAGTTGCTAATGCTAATGATCAGCTTCTGCTAGCTGAGATGTTCTCTGCTGATTCTGGATGCTAAAACAACAACAGCCTTCCCCGTCGCGATTCAAGAGTCCAAGCGACCGCATGACGTAGATTTATCAGACTTTTCAAATCCTCGTGTTTCACCGTTTATTTTCTATCCGAAGCTAATACCGGAGATAGGTGTAGGAGACTATTTTCATGTTCAGCCAGCATAAAAACTCAGTGTGAGTGATTATAATCAGAAATAATCAGTTTTTGCGCAGGGAGCATATTGTTTAAGAGCTTTAGAATAAAATAAAAATATTCATAATAAAAACCTTCCAGCGGCATTTATTAATAACTGACAGGAATAAAAATAATCCAGTCAGCCTCCAGTTTATGCTCAAACTGGTCAGGAGACAGAAACGACGCAGAGCTGCTTTATTTTAAATTATACTTTATTTAATATAAAAACAAAACAATAAACAAATAAATTAGATATTTTTCTAAAATAATTTTTCTTCTTGACATGTTTAAGAACATGATTGTTAGAAAATACAGCTGGAAGTGGAATGTAGGAAAGAAAACTGGATTTGTCGGTGAAAATGGACGAGACGTTCCAAAGAGAATGGATGAAAACAGAAAGAGAAACAAACACGGTGGATTGGAGACATTTTGGAATAAAATCACCCGTCACGCTGCTGACGGAAACGTTACGGGAAGACACAAAAACATCCTGTTTGTGTTTTGGAGCCCGGAACCGGCCCCTCTGCTGGAGGTGCCTCACAAACTCACACAGCTGTACTTCGTGTTTGATAGTTTTGTCTGCAGTAACTTCAGAAGAAGGGCTGACCCCATCTGACGCTGGTGGTTAGGGTTGGAGTGGCCCATCTGAATTAAGATTTGTAATTTAAAAGAAGGAGGCTTTGGGGATAAAGATAGGGGACCTTTGGGGAGAGAAGAGGAGACATTAGCATAATAAGAGCCTCTTCATTTGCACACAAGCTCAAACTAACCCCCCAGAACTCCCTCTGGTTGTCATTGTCCGGCCGGGCTGCGGACCTGAGGTCCCCTCGCCACCAGATTGAGCTGGGTGAAGGGTCACAGTCAGACAATAGAGGGTCCCTCCCCCCCCTTCTCTATTTGAAATCAATCACACAGGCTTTGACCCCCCAACACACACACCCTCCTTCAGCAGTGACAGTGGGCCACATCCCCTCAGAGTCCTCGTGAACTGTCCGTCCCACCCTGGAAAAGCCTTCATCGCAGAGCAAACGCCACAAAAGGAGTCCCGCGTCGTGTCGTCTGGAAGTTTATGCGTTTGTTTACAAGTTAAACGAGTCTGCCTCGGAGTTTTGGGAGTCATTAAAAAACTTGTTTTTTGTTTAGTTTTTTACGTAAAAAGTAAATCCAGGAAAACTGAATCCATCCACCAACAAAAACAACAACCAGGCTCAGTGTGGCGCTTCAGTCCTCTGCAGTGTGAAAAAATAATAATTAAGGGTTTCATTCCAAGAATTCCCAAATTTAAAAAGTGAATGCGTTTCCAGCTCGGATTACTGATGGAAACTTTGTGTTTTATGGCTCAAAATGGGGCTTTTATTTGTGCAGACTGTTTAGAGAAGTTGCTTGTGCAAAAAAACAATAAAAAATACCATCATCTGCTGTGAGTTTGTGATTTTGGAGTGGCTCCAACCTTGTGGGATATAAAAAAAAAAAGAAAATACTGTTTGATTACTGCGACAAGTTTGGCACTTTGAGATTAAATTCTCCTCTCCTCTCGCCTCCAATACCTTCATTTTCTTATCATTCAGAAAAATCTATAAAAGGCAGCTGGTCTTCGTGTCATCGATATGTACATAGAATATTTAAATTTCTAATATCTTCACAGGAACTCGTCGGTTCAGGCCCTTTGCTGCCCCCACAGCCACTTCTTAGCATGAGAGATCCTGAGATTTAAGACTGTTTTCTTTTTAAATAAGCAACGAAAAGTAAAATATATATAGATATTTATATCAACAATCAATTTCATATCATAGCAAAATAGATCTTTTTGTAAAAATGTCTTCATGTCTGAGGGTTTTACACCTTGGTTTTAGGTTTGTGGCTGATGAAAGTAGTCCGCCGCTGCTTTAGAAAAGACGTAGGCGTTTAGGAGAAGCAGTGCGTCTTCTGATTTCTATGCCACTTCTTGCACAGCGCCACAGCTGAAAGTCCACTTTCCTCTTCCTTTCACCCTCAAACCTCCACGTTACAACAAAACCTGCTGGCCTCAGTGCTCCACGTGCACGTGTTCATCTGTCTCCATGTCTATAAATGTCTTCTCATATGTAAGGGCTTAAAAACTGTAGAAATGCAGCTGTAGCAGTTGTCTCTTTAGTGTTTTGTGCACGTGTTCAGGAGTCTATCTGAGAGCCGTTTTGGTGTCTAACCGAGAGCGTACGTCCTGGTAGGCCAGAAGGCAGGGGTCAGTGGACAAGGCATCGTGGGTAAAAACAGAGTCGTTGTCAGACGAGCAGGAGCTGGACGTGTCCTCACACGATGGGGAGTACTGTTCGAAAGGCGTTGACAGGTCCAAATACTGCAGGGAGAAAGGAGATTAGAGGAAAAGCTGGTGAGATATTTTAAAGCAGGAAAAAATGAATAAAAAAATGTGTGAAATTGGCAGAACAACACAGTGAAAATTGAATTTGGCCTGTTCTCAAAGAGGTTCAGCTTCCGTTAAACACACTTTTCCCAGAACAGCTTCCTGCCATGAGACGCACAGATGTGCCGAATCCCTCCAAGATTTAACAGGACATTTCACTCTGAAAGTTTTATGTTTACCTTTAAATGTTTACAAGTGCATGAATACATGAATAATCTATCAATGAGCTCTAATCTCATTCACTGAGGGCATCTGGACAGCAGATCATGGATGAAACACACGTGCACAAAGCCCACCTCATCAGAGATGGACAGCAGCGCTTTGTCCAGCTCCTCCACCAGCTGCTTGAAAATTGGTCTCTGGGTGGGAACTGCATGCCAGCATTCACGCATCATCATGTAGCTGCAGAGAAACAAGATTAATCAGTTTCATTATGCAAACTAGGAAAGGTACTTAATAAATGTAGAAAGATGGAGTTAGCGTTAAGTTATGTGTCTGTTAGAAAATGCATGTTAACTTTTTTCAGTGCATTGGCTCTGACCCTCCTCTTTCAGGATTTAGAAGTCAGCCAAAGAATAGGGGTTCAGAGGATAGCAGGACATGAGGTCTTATTCTTTTTTGTTTCCTGATATTTGGACGTCTCCTCTCTGATTGGCTAACAGCAATGCAACTCTACCATTGACTCTGTTTGGTCTGCAGCACTGACGTTTTATCTCCACAAAACCACAAGCCTGGAGGAGTTCTGCTGTGTGGTGGAGATGCTAATGCTAACAGAGATGCTAATGGAAACAGCTTCTACTAGTCAAGACGTTCTAGGCTGTTTCCTGGACAGCCTTCCATGTTGTGAGCCAAGGTGGGTGAGTCCATGAATGTTCATCTTGAGTGTGACGTAGACCTGTCAGGCTTTTCTAATCTGAGTGTTTCGTCATCTATTTTCTATCGGCGGCTAATGCAGGAATTGGGTGGAAGACTATTTTCCACGGTCAGCCGGATTGAACGTGCTGTCTAAACTAAAGGGATTTCAGAGGAGATTTTCTACCAACGTTGATATAATGAAAGTGATTCAGTTTCTCCGTACAGTTCATGTGTGCAGTTTGAGGGTTTATCCATGCGATGTCCCTCCTTCAGCAGCTTAAAAAGCTCCTCCACAGGGATGCCGGGGTACGGCGAGCCTCCCAAGGTGAAAATCTCCCACATCAGGACCCCAAACGACCACCTGAGTTCAAACAAAAGGAGAACAAAAACCGATCAGATCTGAAACATCCTGGAGAGTTCATTAGGTTTTTTAAGGTTTAGGCAGGACATGAAGGGGCTGAACTTACACGTCACTTTGGTGTGTGTACACTCTGTCAAACAAAGCTTCTGGTGCCATCCATTTCACCGGCAGCCGTCCCTGCGGAGAGACAAGTATGTTACAGGGACCGAGCCACATTTCTCATTAGTTGTTTTCAATCAAATTCTCACTCTGCCTCTCTGTGCCCTCTTGTTTCTCCCTCTTCATCCCCTTTTTTTTCTAATTAAGTCCCATTAAGCCTACTGCCAGTCTGAGGGGGACATCAGACATCTGTCTTCAGGAGTTTAAAAGACCCATTTTTTATATGTCTTGGTAATATGTTGTAAATTAAAAGGAAAAATCTGAGTTTTTCTACTGATGAATTCCTGAAAGTACGTCTAGAAACTCACGTTGGTGGTTTTCTTGTAGTAGTCAATCTGGTGTACTCCTCTGGCCAGGCCGAAGTCCGCGATCTTCATCACGTTGTCTTCTGTCACCAGAACGTTCCTGGCTGCCAAATCTCTGTGGATGCACTGAGGAGGAGACAAAAAAAAAAAAAACAGAACGTGAATTTATGAGCGACTGCATCATCTCAAGATCAGAAGATTACCGTAAAGTTTCAATCCTTCAGATTTAATTAAAATAGTAGAAATGCAATTCTTTCTGTTGGTGCCCATTTCTCTTGCTCAGTGTCTTGTTCTCGTTTGTTCTGCTTCCTGCAGAAGCTTTTTTAAACTACTAAGGTGATTACACAAGAAGGTAGAAAAACAACTTCATTATTTTAGGTTTTAGAGTCACAGAGAGCTGAGTTTAACGCAAACGCACCGCCATCCGTCTTGTCTGGTTTCTTGATTTTAAGGATCAAGAATAGGATTTAACGGAGGCAGAAAATTATTGCTGATTTTATCCAAAAATAAGAAAGACTCTGAAGTCTAAAACAGACTCACGGGGCCTCATTTTAGTGAATTCCACAAAAACATAAATGCCTTTATATAGAAATCCTGGAGTTTAAAGAAAAAACAACCCCGTAGGAGGAAAAAAGAAAGCACTGTTTGCCCACATCGAATGTATGTCATTAAGTTTATTTTGGTTTTCATTCGAAATAGACTTGGGACTTGTGGGGACGGTCAAAGTGAACCGTTCTCGGTTTGTGGGTCTCTCCATAATTGAGGGTTAGTTTTAGGCTCCAGCATTCTTAGGAGGCAGCAGAGCCGAAACCTGATGCCAGACGATGGCTGCCGCTGCCTGTTTGCTAACAGATTTATGGCAGCGCTAAAAAGGACAAAGCCCTGCAAGCAAAGGGCCAGGCAGATGGATGGAGAAGAGTAAACAGGACCGAAGCTGCAGCAGCAGCTCGCTGCTCAGGAATGCCTGTCTGAGACACCGGCTGGCAGACAAAGAGACGTGTTGATAAGACACACACACACACACACACACACACACACACACACACACACACACACACACACACACACACACACACACACACACACAGAATGCATGCTGGGGAAAATGAAAGGACTCGAGAAAATGGGGGAGGGGAGGGGGAGAAAGTAGCGGAGAACAGCTGGTCCTGCCATTGAGATTTAGAGGGAAAAAAAATTAATCACTTACTACCCAAAAACATCAGGGCTCATACGTCTGATGTGTTTATTATCAAGCTTTTTGATTCCTGCAAAACAAATATCCTAATGTTCCCAGTTCTCACTTGAGCAGGTCCAACTGATTTAGACTGATGAAAACTCAATTGTCCTTTTAGAAAAGTTTCTTAAATGAAAAGAAAACGAGTGTTTGATTCTCGTTCGGCCATAAATCAGCCGCCATCTCTCCATACTTTCGTCTGTAGATTGACAATGCACCACTTCACGTGCATAAATTCTTCTTGGACATATTTACTGACACTCAGATGTCGTTTCCACTCTTTCAAGCGAACCCACCCTTTTAGAAGCCAGGTACTCCATCCCTCGGGCCACCTGGTATGCACAAGACAGCAGATCTTTGAAGGTGAGCTGCTCCTCAGGCACCTTTGTCACATCAAAGGTGTAATCCATGCCTGGAGGTCGCCTGGCCCGCAGGTACTCCCTCAGACTGCCTTTAGAGGCATACTCCACCAGCACATACAGAGGGCCTGAGGGGAAACGCTGATACTTTAGACTCTGGGTTTGGGATAACTCAAACTGGGACATCCAATAAACCAAGATAAGCTCACCATCCTGTGTGCAAACCCCCAGTAGATTGATGATGTTCTTGTGCTTGTCCATCACTTTCATCAGCTCCATTTCCGAAATCAAATCTGCTAGATCCTTGTCTGTGGCATCATCTGAGGAAGAAATGTTCCTTTGTTTAGAAGAAGTGGCTTTCACACAGATTGCCGACTGGACCAATCACTTCTCAACCTACCTTTGAGCATCTTGACGGCCACTGTGGTGGACTGCTCCGAGCCGTCCTTGTTGATGCCAAAAGCTTCAGCTCGGACCACCTGACCGAAGCAGCCTTCTCCTAGAGGTTTTCCCAGCGTTAAACTAGAGAAGGGGACATCAAGAGAAAATAAGTATGTCCAAATAAAAACCATGCAAATCCATAATTTGAACCTCTGGTTTCTTAAACTATAGGTTGGAAGGAGCCAAACATGGTCTAATTTTGGGAACCCACAAGATTCAAGAGCTACAATTTTTAATGAGTCTGGATCTGAACAGCCACACGAAACCTGAATACTGAGCCTCAGCTTTTCAAATATTATGTTTCTTCAAATTTAGATAGAAACCCAATTTCGGAACATTGCTTTGTTTCTTCAAATGACAACAGAAGTGTGCTTACACTAAGGGTAACTTACTTGTCTCTTGGGAATTCCCAGTCTGGATCATAAGGCAGCTCAAACTCCATAACTCCGGCCAGCATGGGCGAACAGCCGGACGAGAGGCGAGCCACCCTCATCAGAGACGCGCTGGACTTTCCTGATGAGTTGGACTCCACTGAATACTACAGGGAAAAAAACGTAAACGTACACATCAGCCCTCTTGTACACATGGCAAGCTTAAACTTTATAGATGATACCTCCATGGTTTCTACATAACCATAGATGTCCAGCTAGCCCGTGACTCAGCGAAAGCCCCGCATACTCAGATTAAAGTCATACCTGTCTACGAAGAGGAAACTTGGACAGCTTCTGGACAGGAAGGGCATCAAAAGGCTCTGTCCTAGGATGGACCTGCATCCGACACAACACCACGATAACGATGGCCATGATCAAAGCCACAAATCCGCAGGCGTAGATGATGATGTCAGTGTACTTGGTCTCCATGGTCTCCATGGATTCGGCTGCTTCTTCCTCTGCAGAGATGGCACATTTAATCAATAGTTAATACCAGCAGATGAAGACAGCATAAATCCGTTTAATCAGCTGAAGATTCTTCTTGTGAAACACCAGGCTTCTAATCTAGGGTTTTGTTTTCTACAGCAGGTGCTCTAGGTGCCGTTTCCTTTTACCTGAGAGGACGGTGAGCCAGGCCGACTGGTGGGCAAACCCGATTGAATTACCCGCCAGGCAGGTGTACTCTCCTGCATCCTCCATGGTAACCTTGGACAAGTAGAGCACCTCCACCTCAGACATGTTCAGGCTGCCGGTCTGCAAAAGAGCAACAGGAACACATAAATATACACAACAAGGGATTTAATTCTTCTGATCAAGTAATCTGTCCGAGACCAACCTTAAGGACCTGAACGTAGGGAGTCCCATCGGGGCCGTAGCGACTGCCGTTCCTCTCTATGTGCTTGAGCCACTGAATGTGAGGCTGGGCGTCGCTGTAGACCTTGCAGTGGAACTGGACGTCGTTGCCTACAACTGCTGTGGTGTTGGCAGGTAAGCCAGCCTGCAGAATGGGCCTGTGGGGGGAGCGCTCTACATCAAAAAGAGAGAAAATTGCGGAAAGTTAGCAGGATCTACTGAAAGAACATTTTGACTGCTGCAGGAAGTAAAGCGGTCAGACGTATTTAGGTATTTAACAGCCAGTAAATGTGGCTCCTTAGTAAACAGATGTCTCAGAATAGCCAGCAATTGTCAAAATGCTCTTTAATGTGCTTCTGCACTGGCAATAGAACAGGAAATATCATTTTGGGATGGAATTGTTCCATTAGCATGCCTCTCTGTCACTGGTCTCTTTGATCTGCTGCCACCCTTGCTCTCTGATCTTGTTAGTTGTCTCGTTAGTCTTCTCCCCCATCAGCTGGGGTGGAAACTGACCCCGTGGTAAACAGCCAGGAAACAAATGAACAAACAAGCCGCTGCCCTCCTCCGTTTCTCATCACAAATCAGGTAGAAAACTGAAGAGGACGCCTGACTGTCCTGCATGTCATGGCTGATGCCAGGCATTCCTGTCACCTTCTGGTCACCCCTAAAATTTTTCCCCTCGCAGACAGGAGTCGAACTTGAAAGCTCAATTGTTTGTCCATACCGCTGCCAAGAATACCGTTGGTAAGAAATGAAAAAAGCTTTTGTTGTCTCTAGGATTCTAAAGAATGAACCCAAACCAAACCTCCAATTGATGCTCGGCATGTCTGCAGCAACCAAATGAACGAATATAAAGAACAGTAGGTGTCTTACCCAAGACATCAAGAACGTAGCTGTGAGCAATAGATCCATATTTGTTCTCCACCACGCAGGTGTAGTTTCCTCTGTCTGAGGGCACGACACTCTCCATCACCAGGCTCCAGTGCTGGTGCCTCAGCTTCCCCACACAGAAGAAATATCATAAACCGATAAGCAACGAAAAAAACGCTTCCAGCTCCTGAGCCATACAGCTCAGAGTCCTGTTGGTCACAAACTTGTAGATGCCCTCACCTTAATGCCCCCGATGCGGTGCTCTCCTCTGAATTCACGTCCGTTTTTGAGCCAGTGGATGGTTGGGATTGGACTGCCCATGGCTGGGCAGCGGAACTTCACTGTGTTTCCTGCAGGCACGGCGTACAACTTCTTCTCCATTCGCTGGGTGTGGGTCCAGTAGGGACCTGCGGAGACAAAGACCAACCAGTGAGATCTTAGTCAGAATGACAGACTTGTTTCTAGCAATCAAACAACGCACCTCTGGAGATGTAAACTTGGTCATTTTCAATCTCAGCGGATGAATCCTCTAAGCCATCGTCCTCATCATCGTCTCCTGACCCTAAAGTGTCTAGAAACAAGCACAAGAAGAGCTTGATGCTTCAGTCTCCAAGTCCTTTGGTGAACCTTAAAATCAGAGCGCTTAGATTTGGTTCCCTTACCCGCCACAGTGATGGTAAAATTCCTCACTGGATTTTTGGTGCCTCTAAGAACACAAACGTAAACTCCTGAGTCATCGTAGGTCACGTCTGTGATCTCCATGGTGGCTCCTCGCATCTGGATACGGGTTGTTGGCAGAAGCCGCACCCCGTCCCTGTACCAGTTCATTGCCATGCCAGGTCGCGTCTTCAAGTCGCAGCGCAGCTTCAGAACGTTTCCCGGCTCCAGCAGAAGGTGCTCCGTGGTGTCCTCGCCGAGATCGTCAAGAACTTCTGTTCAAACCAGAGACATTAGCAAACTGAGCGAAAAGCCCACCGACACCTTTGTTTTTCTGTGATTTTTTTAAAAAAGTATCACGTTCTTTGTGTTTCTTTTGTTGTTTTACATAAAGCATCACAAAGCAGCAGGCCTCCCACCCTAATCTAATAGTCATTCCCCTCAACTATGACCTTCAACTCCTCAACCCCATTATTTGCCATCCCTACATACACACAAGCACAATGAAATTACCATGGAGACCAAGGCCTTAATGACCTGACCCTCCTCCTCTCACACCTTCCTCCCTGACCCCTCCTCCTCCTCTTCCTCTTGTGTCTGTGGGTTATTGTGAGACTGAGAATGATACAGCTAACCCTGCAAAACTCCCTCCCTTCCTTTCTCACTCCAGAAAAGTGGCAAAGCAACAAGCAGGAAGAGAGTCTGAAGCTAATGAACATGTTCCAAAGTGACAGAGGACGGAGAGTTTCGACCTGAGGGGTGGTGAAGGTTCACTGGAGATGTAAGAGAGTGAAAGAAGAGGCGACCCCCCCCCCCCCCCCCCCCAGTCCACACACAGATGGCCGCTGTACAATGCCAGCCACTGAAATTTACTGTTGTCCTTCACGAATATTCACATAAAATCGATTTAAACGAGCAGGTGTTCTGATTAGGTTAAAGTTTAGCAGATGAAAGTTACCTGATGGGATTTCAGCTGCTGTCATTTTTACGGTTTGAGAAATGACGATACCTGTGCAAAGAGAGCCTCATTTATGAAAGTTGTAGCATTAAAGCAACAATGGATCACTTTCAGAACTACAGTCTCACCAGGAAGGACTTGTAGCCACGCCGACTGCATGGCCTGAACCGTCTGTCCAGCGTGAGTGCTCTCAGCCATGCAGATGTACTCGCCTGCATCCTCCTCACTGATATTGGACAGATGGAGTGTGTTCACCTTTGACCCATTACTTTGAAGGGGCTGTAAAACAGGGAAAATGGTTGTTTATTGTTGCACAACATTACAGATAAAACTGCAATGTAGGAGAAGTTTGCAGATGTGTTCTCACTGTTAGGGCCCTGATGTGAGGCGATCCTCCCTGGCTTCGCTCTGGGTTACTAGAGTCGTTCCTCTTCAGCCACTGCACCTTGGTGGAGGCAGGCCTGTGCACCTTACACACCAATGATGCCTGACCACCCACCATGCCCGTGGTGTTTTCCGGGTAACCGGGCACAATAAGAGGCCTGGACAAACGGAGATCTGGAGAAAAAAAGCACCTGAATCAAAATCCACATTTCTACGTAATGTGTAGTGAAAACTGCACTAAAAATGTGTTATTCTAACACATTTTATCAGTTTAAATCACATTAAATGAGTCACTCACTCACAAAGTTGCAGTGTCTGAAAAGCTAATACAAATGCAAAAAATATCATCAGAAAAGTAGTTAGCCTGATCCGCGAGGACCATATGAACAAATGTGAGTGACAGAATTTCCATAATGAATCTGAATGTTTCCGAGTCTCTAACCCTAACCCCCTAACGCAGCATATTTAATCTTAAAATGAAGCCTTTTAAAGAGGTTTTCAGTGGAAATAACTCCCCTGTGGCAATCCACTAGTAGAAGAACCTCAGCTCTTGGAAACCATCGTTGGAAACAGAGAAGTTTTGATCAGATTGATAAGCTAATGGCTAGTCCACCACAGCCCCAAAACAGACTTTTGTCAACATAAAATAACTCCATACCTCAGTGTTTCATAAACCTTGAAAAAGTTGTTTTAATGCAGCAGTAATCCACTTTGGTCTTGGTAGCACTCAACCTAGCCTTTAGCTTATCACTCTGGTTGAAAATCATGCCTTTTTCTCCAAACTGAGGTTTACAAATACTTATAAATGGATGCTTAAACAACATTTTGCATGTGGCTGAAGGTTTCTGTTTACCCCTAAAGGCCCAGTAACAGAAGCATGCCATGTTCCTAAACAACAACCAGAGATGTTTGACCCAGCTACAGCCACAGTCCGAGCATACGAGAACCCTGCCCGGGGACCTCGGTTGCAGCTCAGTCACTCAGGACGAGCAATTTTCTATCTGATTGCTTCCTGCGAGCGCTAAGTGAAAAGCCAATCTGTTCCCTGATCGCAGTGAAGTGCTGCCTTTCAGTCTAATCTCTCAGAGTGCATGTGGGTAATGCTTTCAGGAACAAATATACAACCTTGTGAGTGAAAAATCACACGCGGTGGCTGGTCAAACACATTAGAGGATGTGTTTTGTCTATTTGAACCAGAGAATTGAAAACACTACTGGCTTCTCGTGTGTGTTTCTAATTTTGAAGGAGCAGCCGAGCCAGTCCTCGGCGGAGATGAAACACAACCGCGCTAATGAACTTGCAGGGACAGGGACGGTGCCCTGGAGTTGAACTTACAACGGAGTGTGAATTATCACCCAGAGGCGAGAGGGCAAACAACACAAAACACAGCACAACAAACTACAGCAGAGCTCTGAGCTTGATGTCCCAGTTCAGACCCCCACCCCCCCACCACCACACGGTATGCACGTCAAATCAGGGTCAGATTAATACCAAGAGGCTACAGAACACTCCTTCTGTGTTCTTCAAATCAAACGAGTCTGCAGCTCGGATTTGGACTGGTTCACGTTGCGTAACTGAGGGTAGATGTGTGTCAGGAAAGCCACATGAAGAGTATACCCAGAAACCAGAGACAAATATGGAATACGCTGTTTTACATGAAAGGGTTCAGTCACAGGAGCATGTGACCTGCCAAGAGTTTAACGACCTATACTGTTTTTGCTTAACAGGGATGAGAAACTGAGAGGAAAGTAGTTTTTTATACAGTACTGCTTGAAAATAAGGAAGTTTAGAAAAACTCACCATCTTTAAGATAAAAATATAACAGACGTGTGTTTAATGACCTGACCCCTGAGCAGCTGTTCTTAGAGTAATCTCAAATCAAAAACTAAACCTGCAGTTTAAGTAGCTCGAAATCTTCAATCCTTGTTATTTAAATTTAGAATTGTTCTTTATTTCAGTGATCATAGGACCGATCTTGAAAATAAGATGGACAAATTAGGTATGAAGAGACCCTCAAGGTTGGAAAAAATGATTAAAAATGCTGAAGTTTGTAGAGGAAACGAGAGAAGTCAGCAGTCTGAGCAACTCGCCATGGTCCTGCAGCAGGACATGAGGCTACAAAGCTCTAAAACCAGTACATCACTGTGCTGTGAATGTTAACCAAGCATATGATGCTGGTCCAGTATCTAAACCAGCACCAAGACACAACATATGCTGGTTTTTCAGCAGAAATGGAGACAATACTGGGAGGAAAATGCACAATTTTTATCAAAAATCACTGAAGTGGCATGAATGACAACTCCTCACAGAAGCATATGACTGATTGCAAACACAATCTGATCGTAAACAGTTCACGTTTGTTACAAAGTGTCTGAATCACGACTCAGATCATCAACATTTTACCTTTATTTCATTTGCAAATTCACAGAAAGTGAATTTAGGATTTGGATCCAGACACCTGTGACGACTCTGAGAGGAGACGAGGTCTGAACGCTTTCAACAAGAGCTGCAGCTCAGAAGGGAAGGTCCAGATCATTCTGAGACGCTTTAGAACCTCCTTTGAGAATTATGTTTGCTTTGAAAACGTTGCCCAGCTGGTTTTTAAAAACACGTAAAACATACAAGTGGGGCTGTAATGCAACACTGTGTAGCTTGTCGCTGGAGTGTTTTTCTGTAAAGCGTCAATGAAACCACCCCTCCCCGTCCCCTCCAGCTGGCACACAGCCAGGCAGATTTACACTTCCGAGCCCGAGGGCCTCGAATGAATCAGGTAGCGCACTTTACAGCAGCAGAAACACCCTGAGCTTCCGACTCTGTCGCTCCTACGAACCCCAGCCTCTCGCTTTAGATTTGCTGCCACCCTGACTTCCTCTGGACTCATGAAACCTGAACTTTCCAAAAGGAGAAAGTGGACCAAACAAGTTCTGGTAACAGAAGAAGGGTAGCTCCTTCAGCTTGTTTCTGCTTAAACACAAAATGTCAAACTTCTTTGACAACTTCTTTGACAAACTTGAATGAAACCATTCTTACCTTTAGCTTTTATCTGATCAATGGCTCTGGCTGTGACTCTGTCCACCAAACAGAGCAGGATAACACAGAACATGCAGACTTTCACCATCTTCTGGTTGTGATGTGTGTGTCTTTCTGGTTAAAAGCTTCTAAAGTACCAGCTGGTAGCCTGGAAAGCGCCTCACACACCGATCCCTGGCATTGGAAACCTCAGGAACCCACAGAGCCTCTAAACCTGGATCCTGCAGGAGCAAAGAAACACAAGAGAGACGGTTATCTGCTGATCAGAAACCTGAGTCTGAGTCTGGCTGCAGCTAAAGACACAAACCTTTCTGTTCACTTTTAAACCAGATGGCAAAAACACAAACAATTGTCCGGACAAATAGCTCCAGAGAGAGCGGCTGTTTTGACTGTGAGCTGTATTCTCAACCAGATGTCCTGCTAACTGTCCCTCTGTCTGTCTCACATTGTCCAGGCTCTCATGAATAAGGAGCAGGGCTGTTGCTGTCTGCTGTTTGTCAATGGACGGCGCTCAGTCTGACCAGGGATAATGGACCCTTACTAGGAAAACACTTGAAACCTGCCAGGGAGCTGCAGCAGCAGCAGCTCGGTCTCTGCTGCTGATGGAGGGGAAATAACAAACATGAAAACAGCTTCAAATCAAAAACATCTCTGTTTAAAATCCACTCAAACAGGAGGTTCAATTAGGAAAATTGTGCATTTTTTTATTTCTTGGATTGATTTTTAAAAATGTCTTAAAAGTTCTAGCTAATAATGATTTTCAGGATAAAATACTGACTGGATTATTAGTTTTCCACATGTTCAAGAGCCAATAAGAGAAAAGGAAATGTGAGAATATTGCAGCTCAGATTAAACCTGATGGAGTTTATTTATGTGTTAATTAATTTATTAATACCAGTCTAGACTAGTCTGGCTGTAAGAGCTAAAGGAATGAAACAGGGATTTTTCTGTGGCACGCTGCGCCAGCTGAGCTGCGGCGCCAGACCCCGGTGCGCACGCGAACTGCGCGCGCACACATCCCGCTTTAAGAACAAGCTTGCTGAATGAAACGTTTTCTTCCTCAATTAGCGACTGGAAAACTTTTTTCCTCTCAATTCCGCTGCCACGCTGCTGAACTCTGCTGCTGGAGCCAAAACAGTTCCACTTTATTCTAATTTAATAACAACATAACGCAGTGCATGGCGTCACTGCGTGTTTCTGTCACCTAATTCACGCGTAATGAACAAATCCTGTTGGTCCCAAACTGCTCGTGTTGGTCAGAGGGGCCAAAAGCAGCAGAACTCCAATTCTATTTATATCAGAACCCACTGGGCTCGCACGCGTCTTCCAGTCACTCATCCTGTTTGCTCCAAATTACTATGAAAACACTTCTACTTTCTGTCTGTTTACTATTTGCTGTGCTCTGCTGTCTGACAAAGTTCAAACTCCGCTCAGAATCTGCTGACTTGTTTGGTAGTTTGCGCCTCAGACATTGATTTAATGACGTGAAATCCTGCGTGGAGCCTTCAACCCTGATTTATTTCATTAAACAAGGCAGACAAACGGTGGCGGAAGGGTTTGAATTGTAGGAAGTGGTAGAAAATCAGTTTTAAATGATGATTTATTTAATATGTGTACTGAAAATGAATGAAACACCCCTTCTCCAACCATCTCCAGCTGTCCCAGTCTGTTTTCACCCACCTTTTCTCCCGGTCTGGGATGACTGGTCCCAGCAAAAAGAGGGAGAGGGGGGGATTAATCACTCCTTGTTCCGGTGAAATCCAGGAAATATCGGAATATTCATTTAAAATACGTGCTGTCCTTCCGTGTGAGTGGAGTCCGTGCAGGTTTCAGCTTAGGTGTATCCCACTGAAACTGAAGTCGAGGTGATAAATCCGTCAGAAGCAGCCCCCTGGAACATGAGCGACAGCTGCTGGGAGCTGCTGGTGACCGGGAAAGGAGCTGCGATCCCCAGGGGCAAAGTCCGCCGCTGCGCTCAGAAATCCATGAGAAATGAACCCAAACACCAAACCCAAGAGGGGTTTGAGTCTTCAGGAGTATGTCCACTCCCTTCGTGGTGAAAACGAATCCGATGTAGGGGAAAGTCAAACTGGCACGGTTGAGAGGGAAAAACGTGTCCCCAATTCAGACTGAGTCCCGACTCTGCGTCTTTACGCACTGCTTCTGGAAACGCTCCTCTCCTGGTGTGAGCTTCAGATCTGAGCTCTACACTGCTGAAATGTGGGAAGCTCCTTTTAGCTCGTCTCCCTTCAGCAGAGGAACAAGAAAGAGAGAGAGAGATGAGCTCAGACCTGCTCCGGCTACAACACTGCGCTGCTCTCTGGACGGCAATCACAACAACAATGGTCTGAGAGCAGCCGGGGGAGGGAAAGGGGAGGGTTCACCCCCGTAACCCCCCTTTCACACACACGCGCGCACACACACACACACACACACACACACACACACACACACAGCCCCATCCCGCCCCACTGAAGAGCTGGCACCCCTTCCTCCTCCTCTCCGCTGCACGCGGAAGAAATCGCCACTTTTACAGCAACATTTTATTCCCAACATAAATTAAAAAAATACTTTAAATATTTCCAAATTTACCAAAGCAGCAAATAAAAACTCATGAATCACGCCTCCGAACGAGTTTATTATATAATCCAATAATTTATTGCGCATTATTTGCTCTTCAGAGAGCACATTCAATTAAGCGAGCGCGAAAATTGTCTCCGTGTTTTAATTGCATCAGTGAAAAGACTGAGTAATCCTGTTAGCTGCTGCAAAGACTCAAGAGAAATCCTGATAAATCCCGGTTTTATCAGCTTAACACGCTCTCCCTCCACATCAAAGATTTGGGTTAATGTTTCCCAGCTTCAGAAATACGGATTATATGTTGAAATAAATGGATCCGACATCAAAAAACTGCTAGAGCCTCTTGGAGTTGACTGGAAATCAAACAAGGGAATAAAAAATAAAAAAACAAGGAGTAAAATAGATGAGAGAAAGGTGATAAAGAGACTAAACATAGAACAATTGGGGGATTTTATGATAAAATCATAATCTCCAGTTGATTTATGTGATTTTAACTCCAATAAAATGCAGAACAAATACCTTTTTTGCTGGTAAATCACTCTAATTCATTAAAATGAAAAATAAATACTAATAAGGCCTTTATTTTTTGTTTCTCAACAGGTCTGTGCTACAAATATAATAGAAAATATAATAATAAAAACAGAAGATCTCCCTCTGGTGTCTATTTTTAGATATTTGACTGCATTTTATTATGACAAATAAATAATGTCAGCTGCAGCTTGATACTGATCCACACACACTTCATCTCTACATGTGGTCTTGGTGAAACAGAACATTATTTCCAACAGTGCACAGAGAACTCAGTGGAAACAGTTAGGGAGTTCTGTGTTTGTAGAGTTTTTCCAGTTCTATGTGATATTCCATGATTCACAGGATCATGGACCCTCTGAGGTGTGAGGTTAGTGGAAGTAAGTGGTTAGAGGAGCTCAAACAGCGTAACAGCTTCACCTCCAGTTGGAATTTCTGCTAAAATTTGTGGGAAACTTGAAACGTGGAGGTTTCTGCAGACCAGACGCGTGTCTGCATGGTTCTGGAATAGCTGAGGTCTGAACATGTTTTTGAATAAATCCTTAACAATTCCTGAAACTTGCATGCTACACTTGTGTTCCAGTAAACTCATTGTTTTTCACCCCAGCAGCAGGAATGTGGATCGTTATGTTGATCATGGCCCTCTTTCTCCCTACTCAAAACCAGTTGTCACCAGTTTGGGGGTGAAAATTAATGCTCACATCAACTCTGTGATCCGGTCCAGTTTCTTTCACATGAGACGCCTTGCAAAAATCAAGCCTATGCTGTCGAGAGCCCACCTGGCGCGGGAACTGCATGCATTTGTAATTTCTAGGCTTGATCACTGCAACTCTATACGCAGGGTTGTGTCAGTCATTACTGCGTCGCCTACAGGTTGTGCAGAACAGCGCAGCCAGGTTCCTGACTGGGACCAGGAAACGGGACCACATCAGTCCGGTTCTGGTCTCCCTGCACTGGCTTCCGGTTTGCTATCGTTCACACTTCAAACTCCTCGTCTTTGTTTTTAATTTCATCCAGGGTGGTGCTCACCCCCTATCTAGCCACGCTCCTGAACAGACATTCCCCATCACGCGCTCTGCGCTCCTCTGACCAAGGCCTACTCGCTGTCCCTCGTTTGAGGTGTCGTACTCGTGGGGACCGGGCTTTCTCAGTCCTAGCACCGTCACTCTGGAACCAGTTGCCACCCTCAGTTAGGCTGTCTCCATCTCTGCCAGTCTTTAAGAGTCGCCTAAAAACACACCTCCTCCGCTTGGCGTGTCCTGATCGTGTTTGAATTTGGCCCTCTTTTATGTTGATTTTATTTCACAGTTTTCATTGGTTCACTCTATCCCTTGTTTTACACATTTGTCTTCTACTAGAAAGTTTCACCTATTTTGTAATTTGAATTTCTTTTATTTTCTGATTTATTCACTATATTTAACTTTCTACTGTACCATGTTCAGCACCTTGGGCTTCCTGACAGGGTTGCAGAAGGCGCTTTATAAATAAAGCTTTGATTGATTGATTGATTAATTGATTGAAACGTCCACCCCAGTAATCCCACCATTACACACGTTACATTTAATGATTGTTTTGTTGATGTGGAATAGGTTGTGTAGAGAGGAGAAAGAAAGTTATGAAGAACCCAGAAAAACCAACAAGCGTGCTCGAAGGAATCCCGTGTTTTTAAATCTAAGATCTAAACCGAACTCAGGGTAAAAACTCCAGCTAGATCCCAAAACAAGGAAATAGTCCACAGGCATGCTCCGTTTGCTTTTACGTGCAGGTTAGACTCCTCACATGGCCCAGGTATGAAGCAGAAATTTATATGCTGGAATAAAGTCCATATTTGACCTTTGACTCGTCAATGTGCAGTTCTGGGTCAGACAGATCTTTATAGCAAAAGTCAAAGTACACAAGCGAGGCCGTCCAAGTGGAAGTCAAAAAGCAGAAAAGGGCTCTGTGTGTGCGTGTGTGTGTGTGTGGGTGTGTGTGTGTTTGATTAGCTACATGTGTTTTGGGAGGGGACATTGGTGTTAATGTTATTGCATCTTGTTGTTATGTTAATGAGAATCAGGTGGGGTTTAGCACCTCTCTCTCTCTCTCTCTCTCTCTCTCTCTCTCCCTCTCCCACACACACACACACACACACACACACACACACACACACACACACACACACACACACACACACACACACACACACACACACACACACACACACACACACACACACACACACACACACACACACACACACACACACACAGAGAGAGATAAGGCCCACTGACGTGCTTCTAAAATGAGCGTTTAGAGTAAACACACCATGTTTTGAAGAAGCTCAAACATTTCAAAATAAAATTTCTGGATAAAGCGTCATTTAGCACACAGCTAACTCATAATCAATGATCTGACAGGAAGTGAAGGCTATTATGACATTTTATAAGTTGCTATTAATATATTTGATGTCATTTATAGCATATCTGGTCTTGTATTTTATTCTAATGACATAATTATATGATTTGCACAGTTTTAGAAAATTTTCAATAAACGTTGGTTTTCAACTTTGGTGACTATCTTTACAAATCCTAAATTGTGAGAAAATGTGCAAAATTTCATCTGAAACCACATTAAACTTGTACATATACAACACTCTCATCAGTTCTCCAAACCACAGGTGCAATATGGCAAAAATTCCAATTCTGCATGTACTATAATTAATAAATAACTTTACTTATTACTGTGTCGTCTGATTCAGAATGAAAGCCTCCCCTCAAATGGAACATCAAGGGGAGTCTGTATGTGCAGATCAATACAGCAAAACACACAGAATAAATGAGAATTACTGACAGTATTTGAGTGAAAACAACTTTTAACAGCTCGAAGCTCTCCACATAGTGCAAAAATGAAAAAAAACTACAGAAATTTGGAGAAAAAGAATGATTAAAGTCAAAACAAAATAAAATGTTTTAAATATGTCAGAAACACCAGAAAAAAACACCAAATTGTTTATGAAAAACAAAAAACAACAAAATGTTAAAAAAACATAAACTGACTAAAAATCATTTATCAGTATTATCATTAAGTAGCTAAAAATAACAAAATCAGTCAAGTACTTAGGGTGATTGCCACCGTAGTCACACCACTACTACATTTCTGGTGTAGTAGAAATGTGGCCAGCTCAGTGGCCTAGTGGTAGAGTGTCCGCCCTGAGACTGGGAGATCAGTGTTCAATTCGTGGTCGGGTCATACCAAAGACTTTGAAAAAATGGGACCCAATGCCTCCCTGCCTGACACTCAGCATTAAGGGGTTGGATTGGGGGTTAAACCACCAAATGGTTCCCGAGCGCGGCTGTGTCTGCAGCTCACCGCTCCCCCAGGGGATGGGTCAAATGCGGAGAACAAATTTCGCACACACGTTAGTGTGTGTGTGACAACTAATGGGACTTTAACTTTAACTTTAGTTCGTCAGATGAAACACTAAAACATACGTATATAACAGGTTTAACATTTCTGTTTACTCCTCCCTCGTGTATCTCTGTGA